TATATGTGTTTTATCCTTTTTTGAAAATCGCTTGACCTCGGCTGTTGGCGTACTTCCAGCATATGTCGATAAAGTGCTTACCAACTTGTTGTCATACCATGTAACAACAGATAGTTTAGTGCCATCAACTGTAGCGATTTTCTCTAACATAGCTCCACGACCCTCTTTTTTTAGTTCACTCTCTTTTGGCATATTAGAATTTGGCACTCTGTTTATTCTTACTGTTCCTAGTGGTAACATGGGATGCTATTGAACCAATTATCAAAAAATATTTTGTGATTTATGTGTCTTGGCACTGTTTGTGTTAGCCGGAGTACTACATTCGAACTTACCCCCAAATCAGGAAAGCCATCCGGTACAGTATTAGTTTGACTTCCAGCAAATATTTCATATTCATATGAAAATCCGCTAACACCACTCAGTACAAATGCTTTATATCCCCATTTATGGGGTTTCTGTGGATTATATTGTTTCAGCGTCGAACGCGATTTTGTAGGAATAATCTGCTCATATACGGCAAGATATTCTTCTTTTGGAACTTTGAGTAACTGATCCCTTAGTTTACTGAGTAACGGCCGAATTTTGAAAAGTTTATCATGTCCTGGGTTGCCCGACAGCAATAGCGTCATTATTATTTGAGAAATGTAAAAATCTTTTTATTTCCTCCCATCTGTTGCATGACATAACATCTGATATCAATCGGTGACTTAGGTTCAAGTTCCAATAGCTTCTAGGATTTGGTAGCTGCACTATTGACATATAAATACATGTCCTAATGAACTGTTCTAGCTCCTTTTCAGAAAGATCTAAAGGTTTTTGTGGTCTTTTTTGCACTGAATATAAAATACTTTGGTACACTATATCTTTGGTCAATTAATCTGTTAGAAAGAACTTGAAAAATGTGTAAGGGGAGTCTACACCTTTCAATTCAGGAGGCATGTCTGTAGTACCTAAAAATTTCCGATCATCGTCTGGTGATACTAAATTTCCTTGAGTCCAGGTGGGATGAGTATGTTTTTTATTCTTCTTTAGCCTGCGTCGCAATTCATCTGGGGAAACATCATCGTCCTCGCTATCTGAACGGTTTTCTAAGTCGGTTTCTGGGAAAATAATATCTGGTGCATTATTATTTACACCATCACATTCATAGTCAGATTCCGGGGCCAATATAATGGTTGGATTATCATCGTCTGATAACTGTTCATGATCACTATCCACTGGTATATCTGATACAAGATTTTTTATGTCCAAAACAGTTTTGCACAAAAGTGCATACTGTTCCATATATGGCACAAATACATTTTTGGTCAAAAATCAGTAAAATATAAAGAAATACTTGAATCTACTCACAGGAATGCTTTATATAGGTTGTATCCTAGATGGTGCTATTTTCAATAATCCAAAATGTCCAGTAGAAATCTCTGACTTTGCAGATCAAAATTCACAACCTTTAGCATCAGCTGTTTCTTGACCACCATTTGCAAATTTTCATAAAACTTCACAATGCCGCGTTACATTGCCAGGTATGATGGACTTGTGCCATATATGGACAGTTATGCATAAGTAGGTAGTTGAGCATGATGCGTTTTGTAATGGATAAATTGAAAAAAAATATAACTGTGACAGATATGACCCACTATGCAGTAAGGGGTTAAGACTATTGGAGTTTGAAACTATAGGCGAATTTCAGTAGCACTGTCCCTTATGAATTCTTGAAAAATGAAATTTTTTTCACAAAATACTTTCATAGATGTCCGAGTCCGTTATTGTTGGATGTGAGTCTTACATTTTTCTAATTCCTAGGTGTATTTCTATTTGTATTTTTGCCTTGTATCAGATAACTTTGGCTGGACTATTTTCGTTTTTATCAATTTTCCCGTCCTGATTCTCGTCTAGATTGGATCCAATAATAATTGGACGCCGACAGTTCTGCAAAGGAAGGAAATCTAGCAAAAATAGCTTCAATTTTTATCTCATTAAGGATCGTATTACGGTCCCCTTTCATCGGATTTGATGAAACGGCTGCTTTACGTCCATATGTATTTTTAGCTCGTGATATATTTCCAAGTTTGTGAAAATGCCATTGTTACTGGAAATAGCGCAATGGTAATGAATCGGGAAATTTAAACTTCAAATGGGTATTTTACGGTTCATTACCCTGGATCGATACATACAGACTATTGTCGACACGAACGTTGAAGCAGCGGTGCTAAAAAGTCAAAATAACTCCCACGTAACTATGAGCATTTCATAGGCACTTCATTTGCATCGCGACCTACGGTAGTCAGAAAAAACAAGAAGTTAACTCAAATTGTTGAGCGGACTGTGTATTTAGTTGGCTTTCACGCGAGAAAGAGTAATTAAAATCAGGTCATCTGTTCGGGGACTTTGATTCCACGGACAAATACGCTATACAGAGGTTAAATTGATAGAACCTTGCTTGCGCTACTTTAACCCTTAACCGGAAAGGTGCCGTCTGTGAGACTGCGGCGTTTCTATACCTGAGCGTATCTTTTTTTATTGCACCTCTAACAGACGTTTAAAAACCCATCTAATCCATAAGCTATTAGTGACCATCGCCCACCCCCATTCACACGAGTCTAGCCAAAACGTGCCTTAAAATATGGACCAATTTTAGTTTGTTGCAGTCTGTCAGACGGCACGTTTCCGTTCCCGTTTGCTATTTGTGTTGCATAGGTGCGTTTGCGAGTATGGCGGGACCTTCTAAACGTGTACGATACGATGATCCGGAGTTCGAAGAAACCGTTCTAAAATGGTTTGAGGATGAAGGAAGTGACTTTAGTGATATAGACAGTGCCTCAGAAGACGAATACATGGAATCAGATCATACAAGTGATAGTGAGTTATCAGAAGACGGAGCCGAAGGAAATGAAGAGGATTTACCAGCTCAGAATTATTTCTATGGAAAAAATCGTCATAGGTGGAATATTTCGGAAGTTGTACCATCATCACGTACAAGGAAGCACAATATAGTCATTAAAGTACCAACTCTAAGAGGAAAAGCTCATGAATATGGAGAAGAAGCAGCTCCGTTGACGGTTTGGCAGCTTTTGTTCACTGACGACATGTTGGTACATATCGTTAAGTGGACCAATCACAAGCTCAAAGAAATGCGAAAGAGATACAAAAATCAAACCAGCAACCTAAACGACACTGATTTAGTCGAAATAAAGGCACTATTGGGTCTCTTAGTATATACATCGGTGTTCAACAGCAACCACGAGAACATTGAAACACTTTTTGCCACCGATGGCTCTGGAAGAGATATATTCAGAGCTGTCATGAACATAAAACGATTTGGTATTCTCCTGTCAGCCTTAAGGTTTGATAGCCCAGATGACAGGAATGAAAGAAAGAAGCTAGATCCAGTAGCACCAATATCTTTCATTTTTAATAGTTTTATAAAGAACTGTCAAGATGTGTACGGAGTTGGCCAGTCTGTCACTGTCGATGAAATGCTCGTGAGTTTCAGAGGAAGATGTCGATTTAAAATGTATATGCCTGCGAAACCTTGCAAATATGGCATAAAAATTATGGCATTGACGGATGCAAGGAATAGCTACCTCTATAACGCATATATATACTGCGGTAAAGATTCCGATAGTTTCGAACTTCCTGAGGAACACAAGCGGTATTCCAAACCCACACAATCAGTTCTACGTCTCGCGAAGCCTCTGTTTGCAACTAATCGCAACATTACAGCGGACAACTGGTTTACGTCAATAGAATTAATGGATGTCCTATTGAAGAACAAACTGACCTATGTGGGTACAATGAAGAAAAATAAAAGAGAAATTCCTCCGGCATTTTTACCCAACAAATCAAGAGAAGTCGGATCAACAATGTACGGATTTCGAGAAGATTCCACTATTGTGTCTCATGTAAGCAAAAAAAAATAAAGCCACAATACTCATATCTTCTATGCACCACAGAAAATATTGTGATCCGGAAACACAGAAACCGGAAATAATAGCCTATTACAATGCTAATAAAGGTGGAGTTGATTCTCTTGATGAAAAATGTTCGAAGAGTACCTCAAGTCGCCGTTCGCGTAGGTGGCCACTGGTTATTTTCTACCGACTATTGGATATATCGGTAGTGAACTCGTATATTTTACACCAGTGCTATAAGAAAAATGAATTGCAGAAGGAAAAATCGGTATTTGCTAAGATGTTGGCCGCTAACCTGGTCCGTGAGCATATGGAAAAGCGACTAGAGAGTCCCCGTTTACCTCGGGATTTGCGACTTACGATAAATCGCATCCTTGGCAAATGTGAACATCCAGCAACAGAAGCTGAAAATTTGGTTTTGGAAGAAAGGAAAGCCTGCTTTTTATGTCACCGAACGACCCATCGGATGACCAAATTTTTGTGTGTACAGTGTAGGAAGCCTGTATGTCTTCAATGCTCCAAACCCAAATGTATTAGCTGCATAAATATAGGCAATGTTTGAGACTTGCAGTGAATTTTGATTGTGTTCTTTTTGTATTTATTGACTATAATATACTTTCCTTGTTCATTACTTAACTAGAAAATAGAAAAATATTGAGACTTTTCCATAGCTTTAATTTAGTTTCTGAATGTTGCAACAACAGCGTTATTTTTGTATGGTTTTAGCATAGTTAATAAAAATGTTTCTTTTATGTTCTTGTATCATTTTGAAATGAGCATTTTACGTATTAAACACATAAAATAAACATCCAGTATCAGTTTCAGCGAAGTTATTGCTTGCTTTTCGCCTTACTCTAATTTTTTGAACATCTTGAAGTTCGCAGTCTGAGAGACGGCATGTTTCCTTTTGTGTTCCAAAAATTCACGTTTCCTGTTAAGGGTTAAGGAACATATTGACGTTTCGGCTGTTACATCCGTACTTAATATGTTGCTTACAAAATAGTTGAATGTTTATAAGTTGAATATTATGATAGGATCTTACAGATGAATACATGTTACTAGTTGCTATTGCAATTATATCTATTGCAGTTGCTTGCAGCCATGTGAGGGCTTGGAAGTTGTACGCAGAATCTGTGAGAAATGATAAGGCATTCCCAGCTACCAAATGTACACTATGGAGAGGTCCTGAAAAACTCTGTAACTTCACTGTAGATGCTTATTTGGGATACATCAATAACGGGTAAGTATTCCGCAGGTATTACCATTGATGAGGTGCCATAGGCGACAGGTTTACAGTTTGTCTTGATCAGATAATTTAGATGTTTGGTGAGACGTCGTTTGTTGTTTGTTTTAACATTTATTTAGCATGATTGCTACAATTACATTCTTCTAAAAAGCTAAACAATTACATAATATACAGACATTCAGAAAAAAAAACAAAATTTGCATCTCATTTTCATTGTCCAGGAAACATTCCTTTAATTTTCTTTTAAATATCTTTAAATTACAAGTAGACTTCATATCATTATTTAGTTTATTAAATTCAAGTAATCCTTTCTGAAATATTGATTTGCTAGTTATATTAATATTGCAATTTTGCAAATGAAAATTTCCTCTTGTATAGTAACTGTGGTAATGATTATTCAATTCTATGTAGTGTTCTAAATTTTCTGGATAAAGATGATTTTTTATTTTAAATATAAAAATAAGAACCAAATATGATATGAATTTTTTTATAATTAACCACTGCAATTCTTGTAACCTAGATTTTATTTTGGTTTACTTTTCTTGATTCAATATTATTCTCATAGCTTTATTTTGCAAGAATTTTGAGAATACAGATTCATTGGCAGTGAACAAGATAGTTGAACAATATAGTAAATGCGGTAGAATAATTGTGTTATAAACTATTTTCTTGGAATAGTTACCAAGACTCTGAGAAGCCCTATAAAAGTAATTCATTTTTTTGCAATTTTTCAAATAATGTATTCATAGTGATCATACAACTTTAGTTTACTATCAATGTATATACCTAAATATTTAATTTATTCAACATTTTCAATTATTTCTCCTAACTGTGATACTATTTCATTTAGGCGTTTCCCTATTAGCATACATTTTGTTTTAGAAGTATTCAATTTTAGTTTATTTACATTTTTGCTAAGTCAGAAATTAGCATTTTTAAAGTAGTGTCTATATTTTCATCTGATAGGTACATATATTAATGTATCATCTGCAAATATATAAAGTTTACAATAATCTAAAATATTATGAATGTCATTAATGTATAAAATAAATATACTAAGTGACATATAAATCCGAACACCCAGTTTAAATGGTTTTATTTTAATAAAATTTTGTATAAGTACTTAATGAAGCATAATAAATAAATGATAAAAATTTCAAAATGATTGCACTGCTTTAAAGCCCTTTGACCTTTAATAATGTGTGGATGCACCCTGATGTGCTACGCATTCTCCAACGCGCCTAGGCATGCTTCAGATCAGGTGGTCAATGTCCTCCTGTGGTATCTCATTCCAGGCAACCACCAACTCCTCTTGAAGTGATTCTAGAGTCTGAGGAGGACGTTGCAAATTGAGCAATCTCCTACCCATCATATCCCACACGTGCTCAATTGGGGATAAGTCGGGAGATCTTGGTGGCCATGGTAACAATGTGACATCATTATGTTGAAAGAAGTCTATTGTGACTCTTGCAACATGTGGTCGGGCATTATCTTGTTGGAAAGTTGGATCTGCCAGGGTGTCAAGATAGGGTAAAAGATGGGGTTCTAGAACTTCGTGGATATAACGCTGCGCGTTCATGTTTACTCTGATGAAGATTAAAGGTGACCTGGAACCATAAGCTATAGCACCCCAAACCATAACTCCAACAGTGTGATGAACATGTCTTTCAACAAAAAACTGTGGATTCCTCCTTTCACCACGTCGCCTTCTAACCCTGGCACGACCATCGTGCATGCCTAAACAAAATCGAGACTCGTCACTAAAGACAATACTATTCCATTCCTGATCCCAGAGTGACCGTTGTCTGCACTACTCAAGGCGATTACGTCGGTGTTCTCGAGTTAAAGGGAGGACCCAGTGTGGCCCGTATGAAAACAAGCCAAAACTTCTCATTCGTCGGTAAACATTTCGCATGCCAATAGGTCTTCCGTGTTCTGCAAACCATTCATTTGCAATGAATCTGGTAGTGGAAAAACGGTCCCTTAAGGCCAATAATCTTAGGCGGCGATCTTCACGGTCTGTTGTTCTACGGCGGCGTCCAGTGTCCCTTGCTCTTTGCGTACGGCCTTCTCGAAGCCATGCCTGACAACACCTAACCACACTGTCTACACTTCTTTGCAGTCTAACTGCAATTGCCCGAAAAGAAAGTCCAGCTTCCCGAAGTCCCACTATACGGCCCCTATCAAACTCACTAAGTTGACGAAATCGTACAGGTCTCCGTACTCTAGGCATCTTAATGTGTCAATTTAACTATTGATGAGGTGAACATCTTAAATGACCAAAGCAAAGGCTACTCGTGGTCATGTTCTAGCTGCAGAAATATCAATAATCAAATCAACGACCTGAAGAAGCTGATTTTATCCCTTCAAGATGATATCAAGGCTATCAAAGGGGGAAATGGTGCAACAACACATGATCCCAAAGATAGTTTTGTTTTTGAGGAACTTATCGAGGAAATAAACGACAGAAACTCTCGCAAGCGAAATGTGATAATTTTCGGCTTGCCAGAGCAAGATCAAGCTGACGTGCCTCAAACCCGTTTAACCAAGGATAAGTCACAGGTTGTTGATGTCCTGAAAGTTGTTAATTTGAATGTGCATGCTAATGAAGTAAAACCTCTCAGACTTGGGCGGTTTGATCAAAGCAAATGTCGTCCGATTAAATTATCCCTAAAAGATGAAGATGAGGTGATTAACGTCATCAGAAATGCGAAGAACTTGAAGAACAGCACTTTCAATCGTGTATCAATCTCCTTTGACCGTACTCGAAAACAAATTGATCATTACAAGGCGTTGCAAGAAGAGCTTGCAGTTAGAAACTCAGAAGGTTCTCAGAAGTTTAAAATTAAATACATTAATGGCACTCCTAAGTTAGTCAGAGATTTAAACTGGCAAGTTCCAGCAGTTCCGATGGGTTGAGCAGGTCAGTTTCTTTATATTATCAAAATGTTCGGGGTCTGAACAGCAAGGCTGATACTTTCTATTCTTCATCATGTGAGTGTGAGTTTGATATCGTGGCATTAACTGAGACATGGTTAAGTGATGGTGTTTCCGATTCTGAATTTTTTCGAAATGTCTATAATGTGTACAGAAAAGACCGTAAATTTGATAGAGTTAATAAATCGTCTGGTGGGGGTGTTATATTGGCTATAAAGGACTTTATAAGCTCAGAAGTGATAGATGTAGCAGCTTTTGATACTCATTTTCCGTATATTGATCTGCTAATTGTTAAGTGTAAGGTAGAATTTAAAACTTTTTATATAGCCACTTTGTATGTGCCTGACAAAATAGGACTTGAGGAATTTGAGTCATTTTTTGAGTGTTTTGAGCAACTGGATTATTTAAACAACAATAGCACAATCCTAGTGGGTGATTTTAATGTCCCGCATTTTGTTGTGAACAACCCTTCTGATGCTAAGACAGAAATTGTACTTAACTATATGGCCTTGTTTAATCTCAGACAGTATAACGACGTCCGTAATGGATTAAATCGGTTGCTTGATTTGGTCATATCTCACTACTCTTGTGTAGTAGCTCATGACACCACGCCTATGGTGCCTGAGGATGACCATCATCCGGCACTGTTAATTAGTATACTAAATTTATTTGCAAGGGAGGCTGAATTTCGCTACAATTTAACGAATAAGGTATACAATTTTAGAAAAGCCGATTTTCCTTCACTGTATAGAGAACTCCTATCAATAAATTGGACTTCGACTGTGAATTCTGATGATATAGATATCGCAGTAGATCATCTTTATGAAAAATTGTACAGCACTTTTGATACTCATATACCTGTATACAAAAATTATTGTCACAAGTATCCACCTTGGTATAATTCCAATATTATTAAAAGTATTAAACAAAAAGCTAAATACAGGAAAAGGTTTGCTAAGCTTGGACATCAGTCAGATCTTGAAGAATTTCAGAGACTGCGCCGTTCAATCAAATCTCAAATAAAGAGGGCGTATAATATCTACATGGAGAATGTTCAGAACAGTTTAGTTAGCAATCCAATGAAATTTTGGTCGTTCACGAACATGAAAAATAGTACATCACGAATTCCTGGCGAAATGAAGTATCAAAATAATACGTACTGTCAGCCTCAGTCGATTGTCAATGTATTTGCTAACTTTTTCAGCAGTTTTACCACCAATCAGACTTAAACGTTGATATCGTTGAGCACGTTAACCATAACATCCATCTAATTTTAGCTCCTATCCAGGATAGCGAAGTTATTTTAGCCATTAGTCAGCTAAAGGATAAGATGACTTCGGGTCCTGATGGTATTCCTTCGTTCCTTGTAAAGGACTGTGCTAGAGCTTTTTCTCCTGTACTTACTCTCTTATTCAATATGTGCTTAAAATCTAATATATTCCCGAATATATGGAAGGTGTCCAAAGTTTGTCCGGTCTTCAAAAATAGAGAAAAATCAGATGTCGAGAATTATCGTCCAATTTCTCTTATATGCATTTTTGCGAAAGTCTTTGAAATAATCTTGTACAATCGCTTGTATCCTTCAATAAAAAATCAAATATCACAAAAACAGCACGGTTTTGTCAGCAACCGATCTACAGTCACCAATTTGGTTATTTTAACCCAATATATTTCTGAAGCTCTAGATGATAACTGCCAAGTTGATGTGATCTATACGGATTTTTCAAAGGCATTTGACAAAATTGATCATGGGGTTTTGTTGATGAAACTTGGTCACTTTGGTCTCTCACTTAGCGCTATAACATTCTTCAGGTCGTATTTGTCAGAGCGAAAACAATTTGTTGAATATAATGGCTTCAAATCTGAAACCTACTTAGCCCCATCTGGTGTTCCCCAGGGGTCCAACTTGGGACCGTTGTTATTTTTATTATTCATAAATGATCTTTGTGAAAGTATGAATGGTCAACAGTTATGCTTTGCAGATGATATGAAGATATATTCATCAATCAGTGACGTGCAGGATTGCTTAGATTTACAGATGCAGTTAAGTAGTGTTAGTATTTGGTGCGATCTCAATAAATTACATCTAAATATAAGTAAGTGCAGAGTAGTTAGCTATAGCAGAAAGAAAAATGTTCGTGTATTCAACTATAATATCGATGGTGTGGTGCTGGAAAGAAGCGATATAGTCAAAGATTTGGGTATTATATATGACCATAAATTAACATTTATTACTCATATTTCGCGGAAAGTTTCGGAAGCCTTTAAGTCTTACGGTTTCATTGTCAGGAACTGTAAGCGATTTGATAACTTAAGGGCCTTAAAAGTCTTATATTTTACATATGTACGCACAAAACTAGAATATGCGAGTGTTGTATGGAATCCGTATTACCAGACTTATATAAATGATATTGAGAGGGTCCAAAGAAAATTTCTAAAGTTTCTATACTTCAAATCTGAAGGAGTTTACCCTGAGCAAGGCATTAGCAATATGGAACTATGTGAGCGTTTTGAAATTCATAGTTTAGAATGCAGAAGGAAAGTTTCATCTGCCATATTCCTTTTTAAACTGCTAAATAGCATTATTGACTCCCCAGTCATTTTGGCACAGATTAATTTCAATGTTCCTTCGTTCTCTTCACGCAACTATGTAACTTTTAAGCTATCAAGAGCTAGGACCAACTTGTTAGTCAAATCTCCTATATATGTTATGTGTAAACATCTAAATTGTATTAGCTGTCATTGTGATATATTTACTTGTTCGCTTAACTCAGTAGTTAGAATGGCTTATTTATATTTGAAATAACTTCTTTTTTTTTTAACACCACTGAATATTATTTAATTGTGCTTATGTAATTGTCCTATAAATGGGGTAACTGTTGGACAATAAACGCTATTATTATTATTATTATTATTATTATCTTAACCGATCGTAAAGGATGTCAAGAACCAAAATCCACCAACGTTGATTCTTTACTGCGGCTGAAATATTCATTTTTAGAGCGTTAGTGAATTAAAAAAAAGCAGTATAAAAACCGGAATGTCCAACTGATAAGGCTGAAAATTTTTTCACTTGTTATTTACAGTAAGATAAATACATTCACCAACTTTTATTAAAATAAAACCATTTAAACTGGGTGTTCGGATTTATATGTCACTTAGTATAGTAGTGGACCTAGTTTACTACCTTGTGGTATACCAGCAGAAATATTTTTTAATCTTGATAATGTAGCTCCAATTTTGGTTTTTTGACTTCTGTCAATTAAACAGTTTTGTAGAATTTTGAATACAGATCCTTTAAATCCGTAGTGATGCAATTTTGTAAGTAATTTATCCCTGTCAATAGTCTCAAAGGCCCTTTTGAAGTCCAAAAACACTGTTACTGTATGTTTCCGATTGTCCATAAATTTCCCCGTCTTCTAAAACGATTTGTGTTGCTTCTTCGTGAATCCAGCTTGAAATTTGGTTAAAATGTTATTTCCCTCAATAAATTCGATGATCTGTTCGTAAATAATTTCTTTTTGGTGCATCATCAAAATTGAGTATTTGGATACACTCGTGACAGTAAATCCTTTATAAACATACAGATGCTCGAATTCAACTCTTTCGAGATATATTCTTAATTGAAAACAATTGACTAGTTTTTTATTTTACAGGAAAGCAAAAGGATCGTATTTCCTGATAACACATGAGACCAAACCGTATGGGAGAAGACGTAAAAAGATCCGCTCTTAAACAACTCGAAAACGTGAACCTGACTGTGATATGTATATGAAAGTGAGATTTGCACTCGGGGTCCATGATAACGTATTGGGTCCGATGATATTTATAGTTCAATACCCTGACAAACTCACAAGTACATTATTTTAGCATAATGTTTTCTTTGTAGTCGATCGAAATTTGTATCAAATGACTGAAACTGTTGTCTGCAATGTAATTTTGGGCCATGACATTGGTAGTTTATAAGCATTTAAATAGACTAAGTAGGTAGTTTCGTAATAATAGAAGTGTAGATCAGGCTGTAGATTTCATGAGATAAAGATATTTTATATGGTTGTATAGGAATATATGTGTATGTGCAATAATAGTTAATGTTTATCTAGATTTAGATGCTGCTGTATTTTTATTTACTGAATACAATTTTGTGTGAAAAATATTCTTAGATTTTTGATCACCTGTTTCTGTTTTCATTAACCTATACCTTAAAGTCCTATTTACGTACGCGATTGGCCTCGTGATTTTTAACAACAGCGCTGCCAACAAGTCAACGCTAACTTGTACAGGGTGCGGCAGAGAGGATGGACAGTTTTAAAAAAATCATAAAATAGTTAATTTTTACTCGAAAACAAATTTATTGATGGAAACAGGTTCACAAGGAAATAGCATTTGAGACAGTCAAGTGTGGAAAATCACATCAGGCATGTAGTGGCCGAAATCGTTGATGCAGTGCGAGAGGCGTTCTTGGAAGTTCGCGTTGACTCTCTCCAACATCGTTCTGACAACTTGGGCGACTTCCACGCGAATTTCGCCATTCAATTCGTCCAGAGTTCGGGGCTTGTTCGCGTATACTCTAGCCTTGAGGTGTCCCCATAAGAAAAAATCGCATATGGATAAATCTGGGGACCGAGGAGGCCAATGAACATCGCCAAACCTGGAAATAAGGCGACCAGGGAAGAGAGGGAGAATAACGTCCATGGATGCTCGGGCTGTGTGGGCGGTCGCCCCATCCTGCTCGAACCACACACGTCGGAATAGAACACGTCGCTGTCGTAATTCAGGGAGAAAGAAGTTGGTGATCATGTCGACGTAGCGCTCTGAGTTCACGGTAACATCACGACCATTACCGTCTTTGAAGAAGTAAGGGCCAATGATGCAAGTTTGCTATACAGCGCACCAAACCGTTACTTTTGGGCTGTGCAGCGATCTTTCGTGTAACTGTTGCGGATTTTCATTAACCCAATTCTGCTGGTTAACCATGCTGTTTAGATGAAAGTGGTCTTCGTCACTCATAAACAAAATGAGGTCTTCATTTTGATCGATCAGTGCTTCCAACTCTGTAAATAAGAAAAACAAACTATATCGTGAAATGATAAAAAACCCAACGGAAATAAATATAAAAAGATTTAAGGATTACAGAAACTTATTAAATAACCTATTAAAAATAAGAAAAAAGGAATACTACGACAGCAAAATCAAGAAAACCAATAATAGTAGTAAGATGTTATGGGATTGTGTAAATGAGATTTCCGGTAAAAGGAATAAAAGGGCAGAAATAGATAAGATAAAAATCGAAAGTGGGGAAGAAATATCCAATAAAAATGATATTGCTCAGAAGTTTTTGGAACACCTCACAAGCATTGGTGAAAAACTGGCACAGAAGATACCACGCACTGCTCCTATCAAACAAGTAAATAAGCTTATCAACTCAATTTATTTAGACGATACGGATGAAAACGAAGTAAGGGAGACTATATTAAGCTTGAAAAATGGCAAGGCTCCTGGAAGCGATAACATAAAAGCTGAAACTCTGAAAAAAATACGATATTATATATGCAAGCCTTTAAAATATATAATAAATGAATGTTTTCGTACAGGAGTATTTCCCGATATTTTAAAGTTAGCCACAATAACACCTATCTACAAAAAAGGTAGCAAACTTGATATAGAAAATTATAGACCAATATCCCTGATTTCGAGTATCGCCAAAGTTGTAGAAAAAATAATCAAGTCAAGGTTACTAAAGTTTTTCAATAGGTATAACGTGTTACATAAAAATCAATTTGGATTTAAAGAAGGGATATCAACGCAAGATGCAATAGCTACACTATCCAAAAAACTGTACAGACTAGTTAACGATAAGATCCCTGCCATTTGCATATTTATAGACTTAACCAAAGCTTTCGACACCATTAGTCATGACAAGCTGTTGGAAATCCTCGAGCTTAGCGGTATAAGGGGAACTACTTTAGACTTAATGTCGAGCTACCTAAATAACAGAAAGCAGTGTGTCAAAATAGATAACGTGACCAGTCATTATAAAGACGTATGCTATGGGATCTCACAAGGAACTGTTCTTGGGCCAATATTATTTAATATATATATATATATATATATATATATATATATATATATATATATATATATATATATTAATGATTTGTTCTCAATGGATTCGGGAGGCACAGTGTTAGGATTTGCGGACAATACTGTCATAATTTATGAAGACTCAAGTTGGCCCGCACTTAAAAATAAAATCGAAAATAATCTCACCAACGTAGTAGCATATTTCAACACTAAGCTACTCACAGTTAACTCTGAGAAAACTAGTTTTGTACCTTTCGCATCCTATAGAAACCATATGCCACAATATAACGAAATAAATGTCAGAATAGGAAACTATACGACAACCATTAAACGTCAAAGCAGCGCTAAATATCTGGGAATATATATTGATCAAAATCTCAGATGGTATGTTCAAATCGAATATGTGACAAAGAAAATAAGATGCCTCATTCCAAAATTCAAATGTCTTAGAAACATCCTTAATACAGATTGCATGAGAATCTTATACTTCGCACTTGTGCAGTCACATCTTTGCTATGGAATACTTGGCTGGGGAGGAGCTGGCTTCACTTACATAAAGAACTTGGAGATTGCCCAAAAATATTTATTAAAAATTCTTCTGATGAGCTATACCATGAGTCTGGAATTATGGACACTAGGCAAACCTTTATTTATAATTGCATGGTATACTACTTTAAAAATAAATCATTTCATGAGGAAATCGCTCACAAATATGACACTCGCCAGAAAGTTGCTAGGCACATAATGGTACCTAGGCCGGAAAAGTCATTATTACAACGCTCCTGGATTTATCTCTGCCCCAAATTGTACAACGAAATGCCTGCTGATTATAAGTTAATACGAAACATTGCTTTATTCAAGAAAAAAATCTCAGTCTGGGTGAAAGGTATATCCAGGAGCATAATACATGATTATATAGAAGGCAAAACACTATATATGTCACTCTCACAACCCAAATGAAGTCACCGTTTTTAGAATAATTGCTCCATTCTATTAATTTATTATTTTATCATATTTTATTGTACGTTATTATATTTTATTAGATTTTATTATGTTTTATTGTAGTCACTTATATGCTTATACCGTATCTCATGTACGATGGGCATTTAATTTTATTCTATTCTATGCTTGATATATCCTTGTCTTTATTGCTCACAACACAAATGCAACTACCAGTTTTGTAATGTCATTTTAGTTTTTATTGTCCTTTATCTTAGATGTACTCTTTTATAGTTTAGCCTTTTGATTTATGTTATTTATTATTGAATTTAGTTAAAGTGCCACAATGTCAGTTCAAGGTTTTCGCATTTCTACCCGTGATCGTGTAACACCAAATTATGTCAGTGCGTGCGTAAGAAGTGCATAGTGCATTAGCAAGTACTTGATAGACTTTATTTATATCTGCGGATAGACAACTGACAATAATGGGATGGCCACACACAAGATTTTTCTTTCGTGGCATTACTTTTATTTGTCATTGATACTCCTTTGTGGCAACAGTCTTTGAAAATGTATATTTGCATAATTGAATTTGACAAATAAATTATTATTATTATTATTATTATTATTATTATTATCTCACGTGCGAAGTTCATTCGTTGTACATAATCTCCGGACTGTAACTGTTGCACAATGGCCAATTTGTAGGGGTGAAAGCGGAGATCCATATGCAAAATTCGCCTTACCGAACGATCAGTAAGGCGAAGTGCAGCAGCATGTTTCCGGGCAGATCGAGTCGGACTGCGAAGAAAGACCTGTCGAACGCGTTCAACATTTTCAGGAGTTCGAACTGTTCGCGACGCTCCTCTTGGTGTTCTGTTGATCAGTTCACCACGCCTGCGAAGCGATTCAACTCAACGAAAGATGCTGTTTCGAGAGGGAATAGCTCTATTCCGATGAATCTTGAAGTGGCGACGAAACTCACGCTGTACGACGATGACTGACTCATCATTTCCGAAACAATCATAGGCGAAAACGCGGTGCTCCACCGTCCAAGGCTCCATAACGGCAACTGGTAAAATAATGCTAGGATCTCACGAGTCAAACGGCACCCTCCCCACCTCTCTCGTAGACGGATGCGGAGAGTACTACCCATCCCAAAAACGTCCGTCCTCTCTGCCGCACCCTGTATATTGTTTCAGGCAGAGCAAAAGAGTATCCGAGTTCTTGGTCGCAAACAAATCAATTTCGTCTTTGGGAATAATACGAAAAGTAAATGTCGATTGTCTAGTGACAATCCCACGTATCAAGCATAAGGCTACTTTTTGAGGAGGTACGAAAAACTATGTTTTAATATCCGTCCATTCCTCGAAGTAATAATAGAAATAATACATATAAATATTTAGATTGCTGTATGCGTGTCTACTTATAGCAGGAGTGATTAGTCAAAAGTTTTGATTTCATGAGCCGTTTAGAATATTCCTGACCCTAACTCAAGCAAAATACTCGAGAAGATAACCACACTTCGCGATCGAATCTCGTATCCCTTTCCGTATAACGACACTCGGTGACAAATATTCCGCTTGTCGGTATGAAATGCATTGTATCAGAGCATTTTCTTTTGAATACTAGGAATATTTACTGTGAACATTGTGTTATCGATCATGCGTGTTATTTGAGTATTATATAGAAGATTTTATTTATATTTTGATGTTTTGCCAATACAATTTAATGTATATATATCATTATAGACAGAATACACAGCCATTTTAAAGTTATCACTTTTGAAAAATTAACAATAGATAAGTTGAAAGGATCTAAATAACTTAAGACTTAATTATTGAAAATGCGCTTGTAGCTTTTTTTATAACGAAGCAGCCGCGCAGGCAGAACGCAGAATACCGGAACACCGCGGATGCTATAATGATCCCAAAGAAATTTTATTAATACGATTTTTGAACTGCCTAAGGTTAATAGAACTGGGAAAAGCTTCCTCTCGACACCCTCGGGACAAAGGAGCGGTCGTTTCGGCTTTTCAAATTAAAATTTATTTAGAGCTTCAAATAAAGGGACTTGCTTTTTTATTAAAGA